CGCGAGTGCCCATCCGGCCACGGCTCACGACGCGGTGGCTTTCTCGGAGAGTGACCCCTGCTACGAGTACTATTGTCCCTCGTCCCCTGCCCGCCCCCCACAGAATGGGAGTTGAGAACCATGTTTTGTTCGGCTTCACACTGTCAGGGCCTGGCGGAGTGCTGACAACAAATTCAACGCCAGCATTTGTTAGGCACGTACTTTATGCCAGGTGCAGAGGACACCGAGATGAATGAGAAGGAGACTCGCTGGCTTCAGGAAGCTCGGACTCAAGGGGAGATAGGCCCGGATAAAGAATTGGCTCCCCTGCTCGAGAGCAGGGCTTCCGAAAGGGTAAGTACGAAGCTGTATGGAGACGCAGGGGCGAAAGAGCAAAGGTTTAGAGTGAGGAGGCACATGTCCGAGTGGACAGGCGGGTCAGACACAGTGTTGAGCCAAGGAACGCAGGGACGAAAGAGGGGGATGGGTCCGAGAAACGCTGCGCCTTCGGTGTGGCTAGAACAGAAGGCACACGGGAGGGGATGGCTGGAAGCTGGCTGCCATACTAAGGAGCTGGGACCTTGCAGGCATTACGACAGCACTGGAAGTAGTCAAACAGAGTGATGGGCTCAGGTCTGTTTGTGACACAGTTACCAGCTATCACGTGAAGATACATATGGCGGGGTAGGGGGAGGTATGGAGAGACTTCGAGGGACCATGTTACACGAGACTGGTCTTGCTCATTTCTAGCGTGAAACTAGAGACGACTGTAGTATTCCAGGCACAGTTTGGGAGCCTGGACCACTGGGGTGGTAGCAAGGATGCTGCAGTGACCCATCAACGAAATGTGGTGGGGGGAGTCAAGGGCTGGTCTCAAGTCCCCAGCACCCATGGACACTCAAAACACACACAGAGGGCCTGACACCAGGCTGCGCCGGCTCGGGAACAACGACCCAGTTAGACGTCCCTGTCCCAGACCACGGGCGGCAGCTAGAAACGCGCCCGGCCTGCCCACCAGCGTTAGCTGGTTACCGTGAGTGAGCGAGGACAAACACTGGGGGGAGGAAGGCCAGGGCGTGCAAGCCCACATGGGCGCGGGCAGGCTCAAGAGAAGCACCTGCGTTAAAAGCACATCATAGGACAACATTTCTACACTTTAAAACACCAGAAAACAGACAATACAAAAACAGAAACAGGGAAAGAAAAGGCACAATCATTACCCCAACAGTTTGTACCTTGAAAAACCCCTACAGGACATTTTGGAGGCATTCCTTTCTTGAAACTCAGTATACATTCAATGCTCACATTATTCAATACCAGATAGTTTTACAGGTTTGGGGGAGATATTCATGCTAAAATGCAAACTGCAGTAGGAAGGCCGTGGAGCCCAACAGCAGAAAGGTGGCAAATGAAAACCGTATGCATTACCATTACCCATGCCCTGCTGCCGACCTGTGTTTATGTACTTCCAAAAGTACAAAGTATTCCTATAAATATGCCAGTGATGTCCAACACATAATGATAGCACAGTTCCCTCCACTGTTTCTCCTTGTGCTCCCAGTTAATTTAGCAGGAGCCCAGGCAATTACAAAGGTCTTAACACCGTTTCCAAAGTGGTGATCTGACACCTAAATTTAGTTCACGCAAACCAGGGCTAAACCAGAACATTTAGATCTAATGGGTCACTTGAGATGACTAGCACTTCCCAGCCTCTCCATGTCATTTCCGTTTGTCTTTTTTTTTCTTCTAAGTGAAGTGAGTCACGGTGTATAGATCTATCTCCTCTTCACAAAATACAGTTTTTCTCTGAAGAGAATGGTATTTAAACAAGCATTCCTGGAAATTTTTAATACTCATCTCCTTGGACTAAAACAACGTGAGGTGTGCATGGAAGTGAAAAATGTTAGTGAACCACTGTTACAACATGGCCTGAACCTAGGCAGGCGTTAGACCGTGCTGCATAATGAAAGCAGCTGTAAGAGCAAACGTCAGTGGGAAGGGCGGCCCATTTCGCAAAGCCTGCCTCCAACATGGAATAAACCTTGCCTTCAAGCCCCAAGCTACAGTTGCAACCTGCTTTATGTGAAACGGTCAAATCATTCACATTGAAAAGCAGTGAACAGTGTGAGAGAATCAAAGAATTTAGAAATGAAAGAGCAACACCTGACCCAAACCTTAAACTCTAGGTGGCAGGCAGCTTATCAGCTATTTGCATTCTTCCAAGCCCTGTCTTCTCATTCCAGCTCCAAAAATCACTCCCTTTTCTCTTTCTGTGTTCTGTCTCCTCTTGGAAGGTCAAACCACCTCAAACTCTAGGCTAAGTATTACGTCCACTTTTCAAATCAGGTGTACATTGTTTCAATGATGGAAAGCAATGTTGGAAGCCATCTACATGTGATATCAAAGCAGACTTTTTATAGACCTACATGCACATTACTGTCTATGCTATTTATTAGTGCTAACAGGTAAAAATATGGTTATGCTCACAGGTTAAGTTTACACAGAATCTTCGCCTGATACTTTTGCTTTCTAAACAACCTTATTCCTGTGTTCAAGTCTACTTTACCCTTTGTTCATTTCCCAATTGTTGCCAAGGTTTTGGATCTTTTTGTTCTAGTTACAAACGTTAGTGTCTGAAAGGAATTGCACTGCCTTGTTTACAAAATTTTAAGCAGAAGTATTTTTCTAATCACAGGAGACTAAGCAAGCTCAAAATGACTTTGTACAAGACCGTCCTCATTGTGATGCCCTATAAACTGTTAATTTTGTTTAAATTTTCACTTTCTCCCAACCTGAAACGCATTTCTTTGAATTCCTGAAAAAGAATGATTTCGGTGAATTGACGCATACTTTGAAAAGTCTGCTACTTTCAACTCAAGGTCACTGGAACTCTGTTTGTAAAAATGTCACATTACCCAATAAAGAGCCACTTTTCAACTCAAAGAGCTTCTGATTTCAATTTTCGAAAAGAAAACTACCTGTATGGTAGAGGTGAGAAAGTCCACAATGGACAACTCTCTAAGGTCAAAAGAAGTCACCTCCAGGACCCTGGCGGTCCATTAGCTCAGGACATCCGAACACACAGCAATCCTGACTAAGTCTTGGAGCTCAAACGCAGTAGGGACACCTAAGAACAACGAGGGAAATGAAAGACCAACGTGCTCCAAGCTCTGGCCTAAAACAGTAAGCGATCAAATTCAACCAAGAACTTTTTAGAATATGAATTTGCTGTTGCTAACTCAGTTTCGGGGTACGAGATTTCCCCCAGCGCCTTCTGGGGGCCCCCTCTACTTGTGTATCGTATACCACAATATCCAACATTTCAGGGCAACGGTCTTTCATTGAGAGCCACCCCAGACTCCACTGCACTCACTCTGATGTGGACACCCTCCCTACACATTCCCAATGTCGCTAGTAGAATTCACTCAACGACTTCAGGTAGGCTAGACACGGGATACAAATCGGATACATTTACCAATCATTCTTATACAGACTACAGTGGCTATAAATATTAGCCTATCAATAACAAATATACATTATAGTTGAAGTAAAAAGAATCCTGTCAAATAAGCTGGATGCAAATGCACATGAAACCAAGCTACCAAAAAAAAAAAAAAAAGGCTTTCCTTAGTCAAGCATACCAAAGAATCACTCAAAGCGTTTTTCTTTTTTAAGTGGAGCTCAAAATAGATTTTAATGCTACCAGCTGATGGATCTCCCAATTTGCCTTTGAGCCTATAAGCTGGTAACAGAGTTGACTACCTTCTCCCTTTACACTAGCAACAAAATCTATTCTGTGCATCGTTTATTGAAAATACCGAGTGTGGTTTCGGTTAATCCTCCCAGCCCCCGCACTGACATTTAATCAGGAGCACACATTTTCTTGAGAGGATCTAGCTGCCTGCAAGGCAGACCGCTTCGGGTTTTCAGCCTGAGGTCTGAGAGGTATGTCAGAAACCTTCCTGACTTTTCTCTGTGAACCGCCGAGGATAATAATAACCCTCACCGCCGAGGGGGGCTGGGAAGGGCCCCATCATTTCAGCCCCAAGGAGAAGATGCTCATCGGGGAAGGGTGCTATTCCAGAGAGGGCAAAACCGGCAACTTCCCCCGGTCCCTGCCAGAAAGGGCAGCACCTCGGCCCCAGGGCAGTGGGGCGCTCGGGCCTTGGGGCTGGGGAGACAGAGCTCCGGCCTGATGCTGCCACGGCTTGCGGCAGCCACTCGTTCAGCTCGCGGAGACACCGTCTCCCTCTGACAGTCCTTCCCGGATCCGCCTCCCCGAGGCAGCCCACGTCCCGCCCGAGGGTTTCGTTTTCTTCACAGCACCTGCCACTATCTGACACTATCTGCTCGTGTGTTGGACCGCCCTCCTCCACTCGAAGCTCCTCCACGCGGGATAAAGGCTCGTCTGTCTCGTCCGGGGGACGCTACCTCCGGCGCCCGAGCAGCAGCGCCGCGCTCGGGACCGGCGCGCCGATCCCCGTCCAGTCAATGAATGAACAGGAAGGGGGAAGGGGGCTGTCACGCCGGGGACTCCCGGCGCGCACCGAGCCTGGGGGAAAGGAAGCGCGAGAGAGGGAGGGGGAGCAGCCCTCTCCCCCTGGGAGACAAAGGAAGAGAGTCCGAGGTGGTCCAGGCTAGGAAAGGAAGTGGTGGGGGCGTTCTGCCAGCCCCAGGGGACAAAGAGTGGCTAGGGAGGGGGCGGGGCCGGGGTGCGAGGGATTCGCGCCGAGAGCACCGACCGGCGGCCTCCGGGCGTGAGAGGTCACCGGGCTGGAGGATGTGAGCTAAGTGCGGGATCAAAGGGGACTGCGAGGTCCGGGGGAGACGAAGGCCCACCCGAGGGACAAAGAGACGCGGAGCTGGGGGGGGACGGCCTCGGCGGCCGTCGGATCGAATCCTCCAGCAGCCGGGGCGAGGCGGAGCTCGAGACCCAGAGAGTGAGCGGGGCCCCGGGTTTTGAGGGGTAGGTTCACGCGGCCTAAGCCAAGGGCCTGCCGCGCTCCGGGGCGCTCCCGCACCTGGTAAATGGCCGCCCAACTCCCGGCCTTGTCGATTTGCTCGAACTCCTTTTCCATCTCCATGACGGGCCAGGGCGGCTGCTGCGCCTCCTCCTCTGCCCACTGCGCCGTCTGCCGCTCTAGGCCGCGTCGCGCACTCAGCCGGGAGTCCCGCTGCTAGACTCGACTCCCGCCGCTACCGCCGCCCTAGCCGCTGCTTCTTCATGTCAACCCGGCAGCCGGAAGTACGCACAGCGCTACCTCGGGCTCCGCCCCCCAAGCGTGAGGGCCAATCAGTGGTCGAGCACGTCGGCCAGCACTTCCTCGGGGCGGAGCCAGGGGGAGGTACCGAGGGAAGCGGCCTCAGCCCCGCGAGACGTCTTGCAGCGCTGGCTCCCTCCTCCGGTACCGACTCCGAGCTTGGGCGTGGCGAGAGCCCGTTGCCTAGGCGACCCTGGGAGCCCCGCCCATGGCGCGTGGGTTTGCAAGGCCTCCGCGGATCGTGAGATCAAGCCTCCAGTGGGCCCGTTGAGTCACGGGGTGGCCTTGAAATAGTCATGTGTGTTTCCTGCAGCTCCAGGGCCCTGGCCTCAGTGCTCCAAGCTGGAGAATCGGCCTGAGAAGCATGCTCCATTTCCTCCTGCCTCCCGCCTCTGGCCAGATGTCTGCTCATTTTTTAAAAAGATTTTATTTATTTATCTTTAGAGAGAGGGGGAGGGAAAAAGAGAGGGAGAGAAACATCAATGTGTGGTTGCCTCTTGCACGCCCCCTACCAGGGCCTGGCCTGCAACCCAGGCATGTGCCCTGACTGGGAATCCCACTGGAGATCCTTCGGTTCACAGACCGGCACTCAATCCACTGAGCCACACCAGCCAGGGCTGCTCATTTTTTTCATGAAAGCTACAGCTTCACGATTCACCAGGCTACTGAGGAAGATACCCTACTGTCTGTACTGTCCTTGTACTGAAATGCAAGACTTCTGTCTGGAGTCTCCCAATTAAGCGTGCCTCAAATGAATGGATTGGGGTCCTGGCTTGAGAGGTCCCTTCAAAGGATCAAGGACAGGTTGCTCAGACTGGTCTCAGTGGAGCACAGATTCCATGGTGCATTAGTGTGTCGAATGATGCAGATTTCTTGGTCCAACCCCGAAGGATTCAGATACCAACATCTGTGCTTTTTACCGGCAACCCCAGCTAACTGTACACTTACGATTCTGGAAGCACATACGAGAAGAGCTAGTCAGGTTGCCTTCCTGCAGGTTCTACTTGAAGCCACCCAGCTCTGACCTGGCACATTGTATGGACTGTGAACTGCATGGCGTCAGAGAACCTAGAGCAGGGTGTGTCAAACTCATCTTCACCGGGGGCCACACCGGCCTTGCTGGGGCCTTCAAAGAGCTGAATGTAATTTCAACTCCTTAACAGTTAAGGAGTCATTACATGTATACAGTCCTAAAATTACATTCAGCCCTTTGAAGGCAACCTTGAGGCTGATGTGGCCCCGCTGAAGATGAGTTTGACACCCCCAACGTAGAGGACCGAATCTTCTCTGTTCCCTGTTTGCAGCCCTAGCCTGTCCAGAGCAGCTGCTGGCCTTGCTGGTTGAATTAATTCCTTGAGTGCTTGTGGCAGGCACTGTGCCTGGCATTTCAAGTACACACTCGGTCTCCACAGCAATCCTACGACATAGGCACTACTATTACAAACAGTTTATGGGCGAGGAAACTGAAGTGCAGAGAAACAAAAGCTCTTGTCCAGAGTAGCATTGCACATTGGTGTGAAAGCCAGGATTCTAACCCAGTCTCCAAAGGAATGCTTGCTTTGGAGCCAGGCTGCCTGGGTCCAAATTCCAGTTCTACTAAATACTAGCTATGCAAGTATAGCTAGTCTCACACCACCTTTAGCGAAATACCTAACTTTCTCTGCCTCTGTTCCCTCCTTTGTGAAATTAGGATAATAGAAGTACCCACTTCATAGGGGTGGTGTGAGGATTGAATGAGTGTAGTGCTATAGTGAGTGGCTCCGTAAATATTAGCCCTATTTATTATATTAGTGAGTGGGGAGGTGTATGGATTCTTATTGAATAAATGCAGCTGGTTTCATAGGCAACACCTTTAAAAACTGAGTGTTCCGTGGGAGAAATTAACAAAAGATGCTCATTGTGGTGAAAAGTTTGGGAACCCCACAATCAGAGGCTGCCTAATTTAAGAGTTAGTCAATTGAAGTGACTCTCCAGGTGCTGGCATACTCTTCCTGCTCTCATTGATTCGAGTGCCAGTAGATCTGGTACTCCCAGAGCTCGGGGGAAGGGAGAGCGGGGCTGGTGCATTCCTATCCCCGTGGGCTGAGTTAAATAAGTAAATAAATCAAATGCCCATGTGGAGCCCAAGTGGCCCTCGTGCCTGTAGGGAGTGTCACCCAATGGCTGGAGTGGCCCTTGCGTGGGGCCAAAGCTATGCACAAGATCTTGATAGAGGAGACGGGCGGTGGCTGTCTAAAGCAGGGTCCACGTTTGGGCTGTTTAGTGACTGTTAGTTTCTTAAAGGTGCTGTAACAAGTGAGCACAAATTTGGTGGCCTAAAACGACAAATTTACTTCGGAACAGTCCTGGAGGCCAGAAGTCCGAAATCCATGGGGTTACGGGGCCACATCCCTCCGAAGGCTCTTGGGGAGAACCTTCCTCGCCTCTTCTTGCTCCTGGTGGCTCACTGTTGCTCGGCTCGTGGCAGCCTCACTCCCGCCTCTGTCTCCGTCTTTGTACAGTTCTCTTGTCTGTGTCCCCCCCTCTGCCCTCTGTTTAATCTCCCTGAACTTCTTGCCTGACATTTGGTGGGGAGGAGGGACCCATGGTGCTGGAGTCCTCCACGCCTTTCTGAGGCTTCCTCTCATCTGCGAGGCTTACCGATTCCCTGCCAAGGCCGGGCCTAGGACCAGCCCGGCCCTGGTATGCCCCAGAGATATGACGGCGGTGATGGGAATCTCGCAGTGATGACTGGTTAGAAGATAAACAAGTGGCCGTGTGTCATGAGAGCTGAAACCTTTTCCTGGCAGGCATGAAGTCACCCGGTTGCTCTGGCCTTTCCTTCACAGATTTAGCTAATGGAGGGAATCAATGGCCCATTAAACTTTTTAAAATGTCCTGCCGAGTTGTCAGTGGAGAAGGATGGCTGTTTCCCAAGGATCATCGACTCCTAACTGAGCAGTGTCAGCAAGTTGCCTGGTAAAATCGGTCCTGGTCTTTTTTTTTTTTTTTCCTGGCAGATGGCTCAGTGTTAAGAGCTCGGGATCCAGAGTGAGACCAAATTGGTCTCTGATGAAACGCCGTGTCCTCGGGGAGGCCCCTTCTGACGCCTCCTAATAAACGGTGCCCGTCACTCGATCCCTTTTCCTTCTTTGCACTTATCAGGCCTTTGGTGTCGTGTGTTCTCCCTGGTGTTACCACGAGGCATTATGTTACATATGTGTTTCAGGTGTTTATCGTCTGTGTCCACCACTAAATGGAGACGGCGTGGAGGGAAGGACCTAAGTCAGTTTGGTCCGGTGCCATCTTCCTTAAGCTACGCGGGTCCTTGGAGAGTTTGAGGACCTGAGAAGACAGGGCTTCCCTCCGCCTAAGAGACCCAGAGCTGCAGGGTCCTCAGGGTCTCCCAGCTCCCTCTGTCCACCACCGAGGACACACGGCCAGGGAGGGAAGGGGCCCTTCCCTCGGAGATTCACGCGTGCTCTCCTAACATAGTTTGGGCAGCTCGCCTAGTTGGCTATTTGGGGTCAGCCGAAGACACCCCTGAGACAGAATAACTGACCGGGGCCCAGCCGAGGCCCAAAGCGCTGGGAACTTGAAGCACGAAGCTTCCCCTCTACAGCCAAGACAGCGCTGGAGAACAATGTCGCCGAGCATCTTCCCAGTCCTGCGGGTCAGGTGCTGTCCCGCTTGTCGGATGAGAAAACAGCTGCTCAGAGAGGGTAAACCCCCAAATGCAGAAGGCTGGCCCCGGCGGCCTTGGAGCAACAGGCTCAGCGGGTTAGAAGCCTCTGCATCCTGGGCTGGGGCTCCTCATGCGCTTTCAGGCCTTGGGCAAGTGGCTTAACCCCCTGGTGGCAGCCCGGATACTTTCCACTGAGAAAAATCCAGCTGAAAGTGGCTTTCACAAACCGGGGAATTTACTGGCTCATGAAACTGGGAAGTCCAAAGATGACTTGCTTTAGGCAAAGTGGCATCCCAGGGGCTCCAACCAAGTCATCATGACTGTGTCTCAGCAGCTCCTTTGTCTGCGTCCCCCGGCTTAGCATTACTCTCAGGCAGGCTGTCCCCGCGAGGTACCCGGGATGGCCACAGCAGCTCCAGGCTCTCCCATCCTGCCTGCTCCGCAGCTCCGATAGAAAGGGCACTTCTCCCCTCCCCCCCGCCCCGGGGTGGCAGCACCAGTCCCGGCCTTGAATGCCCTTGGTCCAGTGAGCCTCACATGCCATCTCTCAGCTGGGGGAAATATTGGCAAGTGAAGAGATGGAGGCCCGGAGAAGTGAATTTCTTAACCAAGGTCACACAGCTGGAACTGGTGAAACGGGGTTTACACGCAGGCAGTCTGGTCTCAGCCTCTGTGCTCTCAGCCATGACGTTCAGGCTCTGCAAGGACTCCCACGCGCTCTAAACAGACTATAACAATGAAGAGTTAACAATAGTAATAACATCACGACAACGACATGGTGCAGCCTGTACTATTGTAATTCCCCATTTGAACCAAGGCACAGAAAGGTTAAGCAACTTGCCCATGGTCACACAGCCAAGAAATGGTGAACCCAGGATGCGAACCCAGTTTAGCTCTAGATTCTGCTTCCAGTTCTGAAATGCTGTGAATGTAGGCGAGTTCTGCACTGTTTCAGACTCACAGGAAGGCTAACAGCCCAGAAAGCTCCCTGTTCTCATCTTCCCTGGGCTCTTTTCCCCATCCTCATAAAGCCTCCCCCTCCCATCCACCCCCACAAAGCATTTTAGACTTTGCTCCAAGCCATTAAAAAGAAAACAAAGATAAACACATAAATTGAATCCTGAGCTGCCTGTCCTGTAAGGGTGACTGTCCCGGGCGGGGGAGGGGAAGGCGCTCAGGGGGAACTAGGGCATCACATGGGTTCTGAGAAAGGAGGGCCAGAGGCCAGGGGGAAGGTCGGAGAAGGAAGTTGGGCGTTGGCCTCAAGCTCTCAGGGAAGGAGGAGCCTGGGAGGGTTTCCAGAGGTCACTGGAACTGCCCCTCCACC